CGCTTGCCAAAGTTATAAAGGTAACATACACCCCAACTTCATATTGTTCTACCCACTCATTTGCTTTGGAATCTTTATTACTTGTCCCTGCAGTTTGCTCCGTTGTGTCTTACCTTACTCCGTCTCTGTCTCTTATTTGCATCCGCATCGATCTCGATGTATTCGAGAACACGATCAGAGTTTCACATAAACTCTCCCCTTGTCCCTCAGTTGTTGTCGCTGATTTAACTTTGCTCGCAGTCTACGTTTACAAACAAGGTTGTAATCATCATTTCCTATCATTTTTTTACAGCCGAGCCTAAAGGCCCAAACCAAAATAAAACTCAACCCATTACAAAATAAAACAAAACCCAACCAGACCCAAAACCTAATTAAACCTAAAACCCAACCAGGAAGCCAGAAGCCCGACCCAGGTCTAACCTAAACCCTAGGTTAGTCGCCCCAATCTCCCCAACCAATGGCCACTGCTTCCTGCCCCAACACCAGAAGAGCACTCCATGCACGCCAAGCTCCACTCCACGCCAAGCTCCACTCCACGCAACTCTTGTAGAAAACACAAAGCAAGCAAACAATTTTGGAATAATTCATTGCTATATAAAAAAGGTATAAAACCCGAACAAAAGAATGAAATGTCTCTCAATTTTTTTATCCGACCATAAGCAATAAACCAGTTTTTAATGTTATTATCCTTTTTTTATTTCGAGCAGTAATATTTTTTCTTTTCTTTTTGTTAAGTTTCGAATACCAGTTAAGAAAAAAAATCTTTTTCAGATTCGAATGAAAAATAAAAATAGGCTTTCTTTTAGTTTCACACAACATCGAAAAAAAGAACCTTTTTTATGTTAGTTTCATAAAAAGCAATGAATGAAAAAGGGGCTTTAGTTTCGGCAATCGAGTAAAAAAAAGAAGATGTTTTATTTCGAAAGAGCAACCATCCAAGCCATTTTCATAGTAAAAAACATAAAGAAATAAAAATAACGTCAGATTTAATGTTTACATGAGTCGGGGAGGCTTCGTCGAAGGTCACCGGAGTCCAGGGTAGCCGAAGAGTTTAGGTGGTTTTCAGGTAGTTTAGGTTTGTTTTAGGTGGTTTTAAGCTCAAGGTTAGGTCCTATGTGGGTAGATCTATTTTTTTCAAGTTTTTAGAGTTATTTTAGGTTTTTCGATCGCCATGTGTGGCGGCCTGAGTGACAATCGGACGGCTGCTGGAGGATGTTCGAGGTAGCCTGCAGTAGGTCGGCCGAGGGAAGGGGAGAGCCTTTTTAGATTTTTTCTTTGTTTTTTTGTTTCAGTTTGAAATGAAAAAATAAAAAGAAAGTTTATATTTATAGGATAAATTTAGTGTAAATCACACTTAGGTCCCCTAGGTTTAGCGTGTTTTGAAGTTTGGTCACCTATAGGGACCAAAACTGATATTTTTCCTTTTTTTTCCGTGATATGTTATTTTTGGGTTATTCACATTTTAGTCCCTCATAATTTAGCGTGTTTTTTCATTCTGGTCATGTAGGGCTTAAAGTTGAAACTTAAAGTTGAAATTTTCCCTTTTTCTCTATATGTCATACGTATTTTGGTAAAATTATTGTTTGGCCCCTGTAAGCTACGCATGTTTTTACATTTTAATCATGTGTAGTGACCTTTTATTTTTTAAAATGAATGTGGACTGATTTTGTATTTTCCCTTTTTAGTTTAACATGTTATTTTAGGCTTGAATAAAATGAATAACTGTCTTTTAGTCCCTGTAGTTTTCACGTGTTTTTGCATTTTAATCCCTAATATGTTTTTTTTTATTTTTTTAGTTTTAGCCATTAAATTTCAATTTGTTTAATTTAGCCCTATTGCATGTCTAAATTATTTTTTTAGCTTGGTAATTTAATGCTTATGCAATTTAGTCCTTTAATTTATTTTTATTTTATTTTATTTTTACCCTTCATTTTTTAATGCTTTAATTTTAGTACTTTTATATATTTTAATTGTCTTTAATATTTGTATCCTTTTAGTCCTCGATGGAACACTTTTTTCAGATTTAGTCCATAGTCTTTTAATTATTCGATTCATATTTAGTCATTAAATTAAGAGAATTCTTAATTTGGTCCTCGCTTTTGCTCGAGGTTCCAATTTAATTATTCAAATTGCAATATTGATTTAAATTAATATTAGAGCCTCCATTTTAGATTAGATTTCAATTTAGTCTATTTAATTTAGGGAGTAATCTGAGTTGGCTCTCGCCTAAATGCTCTAGGGACCATATCGATTATTCGATTCGATAATTGATTAAAATCAAATAGGAATAATATTAGATCCTACATTTTTAGTTTTATGCCTCTAGGTTCTTTAATTTTCATAATTTAACACTATAGGATAGAGAAAGCCTTAAATTACCCTTAGTTAATTAGGACGAATAAAAATTTGTCTTATTGCATTTTATTTTCAAACCTAAGGCAATGTCCACTAATTAGGGAATTAATGGTATATCTCCCACAAACATGCTTAGGGGTTACTATTGGTGGTTCCCGAAATATGTCATCCTTTTCAAAACAACTTCATGATTTCTGAAATTAAGGCAATGTTCGTTTATTAGGCACAATAATTGATCTCCCTCATTTATGCTAGGGGGTGAATGCTATCGGTCTTAATAAACAAACACCATTTTCAAATTTGCATCTGTAATGATTTTTAAATTAAATAAAGTTTGAACTCAAAATTTTTGATTCTAAATATAGGGTAATCAACTAGGTACCAATTTTTGGGCGCTTGTAGGGTGATAATCTTTCCCCATGCGTAACTGACTCCCGAACTTGAATTTTGGATTTTTCGCATACCATAAAACTCAGTATTTGATAAAAAATATTATGTTTTATTAAATGTGGCTCACCCTAACCCACAACACTATGCATCTCGGTGCTTAGATGCTCCTTTTGGTTCTTGGTGAATGATATTTAACTTCAATGCATGTTGATTTCTTTTTTCTTACAGAAGGGAATTTCTCTGAAATCGAGTGAAGCTGCAGTAGTAAAAAGATTATAGTTACACTTTAAATCCATATGTACAATTCCCAATCCATAGATAGGGATGGGAATGGGACCTGAACCCGAAGGGTTCCGACCTGTCCTGAATCGATTGAGTCAAGTTTTTTAAAAACAATTATGGTTTGGGTTGGGTCGAAGTCGAGTTTAGGGTTAAAATATCCTATCTGACCCGACCTGAGTACTTAATGTATTATTATTATTTTATTTTTAATTTTTTTACTTTCCGTTCGTAAATTCTCCACCGAGGCACTGAAGCAGCGACGCTAATTGCCGCAATACCCTAATTCGTGCATTCCATTTCCTGCTCAAGATTCTTGATGGTACTTATTTCTTTCGGTTAATAGAACACAAATACGAGTTATTTCTATTCAAATTTCCTTCAAAAAGTTTTTTTGGGTATTTCTTCTTTTACAATTTGTTCTGTTGTAAGTATAGATGAACGTCGATTAATATGCTGGGTATTTCCTCTTTAATTACATCGATTAATATGCTGGGTATTTTCTCTTCAAAAAAGTTCATCTATATTAACCCTAGTTAGTACTGAAAAGTTTGTCGTTTTAGATCTTAATTTGCGTGGATTTGTGGTGTTACGATTTTCATAGTGTTTTTACTTTGATAGCTACAAAATTTTGTAGTTCTTCTTTGAATTTTTTAAAAATAGATTAATAACATGATTTGAGGGAAAAATAGCATGAAATGAAAAGATCATTTCGTGAACACAAGATCTCGAGACACCGCAATAGACTTGACCTTGAAAACGTAGACTTTGTATCTCTTCATCCCAACAACATAACCAAAAACATATCATGCAAGGCTCTTTCTGAAGAATTATCCTAATGAACTTGAAAAAAAATAAAAATCTAAACATCTTAAGATGTTTATAATATGGAATATTAGTATATTATACTTTATAGGAAGATTTGTTTGTCCAAAACAAGAGAAAATAAATTGTTGATGATATAGGTGGCAGTGATTAAACAATCATCTCAAAAATCACTAGTAGAAAAAACCCCTTTAATGACGTGCATTACGCGTCATCTATGGGTGCGGATGACACACATTTGCCTGCCGTTGAAGCCACCGACATGAATTTAAGATGACGCGTAACTGTGCGTCATAAATTTATGACGCACATTTATGACGCTCATTGTGCATCATTGAAGCCCCCGTCATAAATGAAGATGACACACATTCATGTGTCATAAATTTATGACACGCATTTATGACTTACATTGCGTGTCATTGAAGCACACTTCATTAAAAAGATGACACACATTCGTGTGGCGTGATTGTATTTCGTAAATTATTGTTATATATATATTGTAGATTGACAAATAATCAAACTAAATCACATTTAATGCCTCATAATACTAAATATATATATCATATTATATATAAGCAATCCATTTGCATACAATATATTCACATTAAGTTACAAACATAATATCCATCACATATGGCTATTTGAAAACAAAAAACCAAGAATGTTCTTATCACAAGAAGATACTAACAGATTATAAGATATGAGCACATTAATTTTACTAAAATGGTGCTAAACGATATGTGCATAGATCAACCTGAGCAAGGTCACCAACAGCATAGTCTCGGAACAACATAATCAACCTCTGGGTATGTAGCAATTAGAGGGAATACAACATTTCCAGCACCACAGCCAACCTGATTACCAAGGTCACATTAGTTCTATAATATATAGAAACCTTACATGAGAATTTAAGAACCTTAGACAAGAAGGGGAACTACTTAACACACACTATAAGGAACAATAAAGTCAAGTTCATATAGGTAGCATATATGTTTTTGCCATGACATTAAGTGTAGACACGCTTAGGAACAAGACCTTTAAGATTTCTTGTTTTGCAAGTATGGGTTCGAATTTGATATTTTAATTATTTTGATCAAATCGAAGCACCACAAGGTAACAAGCAGATTAAGTACCTACTGTAAATCAAGAAACATCTTCTCCAAATCTCGCACAGCATCGTGGCGCTCTTGAATTTCAAACACGGTGCTCATTATCTGCAAATGAACCAAAAATTAATTTACCATAACCAATTTCTTCTAGTCACAGACATTCCCTGTTTGAGATGCTATTAGAAGAGATTACCGAAACCAAGAAGTCAAATAAAAGTTCAATTTAAAAAGCTCTAAAATAGTATATATATATATTCGGCTATTCCAATAAAGTCTACAAAACAAAAGGAAGGGTGTAGGGATGAAAGACATGTATTATCTACTATTAGTATAAAGGAATAAATAATGAAAATTAAGTCAAACCTAGCCCCGTCCCTGCTCCTGAATTGCTTTCTAGAATATTTGTTCGCTATCTCCAGTTGCAATCAATCTTTCAATTGTCTGTACAATGTTCAACAATCAGACATAGGCTAAATAGGACAGAGAGTCACTGATAACATAACAAGGGAAGTATACCTCTTCATCTGGTCTTGTGCCCGTCACTGAGAATCATCATAACCGGTGTAGATTAATATTAGCTATCATGCACTATTTTAACAACTAATAGTATCAGATGAACATCTTAACCTATGAAAATACGTCGCTCAACAACCTCCCGATACACTTTCTGGATTCTCTCCCTAAGAATCTACTATGGCAGGTACATAGACCCTAGTAAGATTAAGAAAATGAAAGTAAAATACATCTTAAAATATCTAAATCTGACCAAACTGAAACTCATCTAGTTTGTCTTTCAACTTCTTTTTCATGGCACTGCAGCAAAAATATGGAACACAAATTCAAGTCAGGGGACGAGTACAAATTATTTACCGAGGAACACAAATTCGCATAGTCTGAAGCCGAAAGGAAAAAAACAATTACGGCCCTCGAATAAGGAACAAAGAAACTTTTTGAGTGGGTACAAGTAGTGAGGCAATGGACATTGAAACGTAAGGTTCCGAGGATGGTACAAATCAGAAAGAGACAATTACTATCAATAACATGAAAAATAGCACGCCTCAAGAGCAAGTAACGACCACTGGGGAGATACATCACATGACTGAACAAATGGAAATAGGAATGAAAAATACCAATAATATTTTGAATGCTCACGAGAGTAATGATCCTGGTCCTCAGGAGACACCAATAATGAAATGATACAATGAAAGTGATCACTTGGAACTGCAGAAGAGTGAGAAATTGTGAATTTGTCAACAATTACAGAGATCTTACAAGAAATGAAAGACCCAATGTCATAAGTCTCTTAGAGACGAAAGCTACCGTAAGGGTTGGTGAAATGTTAAAGAAATTAAACTTTGATGAGCACTTTGAAGTCTCTACTCAAGGGATGCATGGATGTATCGTCATGTTATGGAACTCGAATGAAATAAAAGTCAGAATTCGTCTAAATACTGATCAATTTGTGCACTGCGAAGTTCAAGAAGATGATAAAAGTTGAGTAACTACTTTTGCCTATGTTCAACCTCACACAAATAAAAACATGTCGTGGATTATGATGGGAGACTTCAACGACATTGTGTCCATAGAGGAAAGATAATGATCTAATACAGATTACATTGATCACATAATTCAGTTTAGAGAAAGGTGGAACAGATGGATGCAGGCTGGATAGGCACTAAATCCACTTGGATTAGACGAATCCAGGGGCAATTGACTCTTCAAGAGAGACTAGACAAAACACTCCACAATGCTGAAATTTTGGATATTTTTTCGAACATTCATATGGTTAATCTTCCAAGACTCTATTCGGACCACAATCCAATCATGGTAAATACTACTTTAAACATACAAATGGAAAAAGAGAAACGCCCTTTCAGATTTGAGGCACTATGGCTCACCCACTGAAAGTTTTATACTGTTTTTAACCAGGCTTGAAAAAGCAAGAAGGATTCGATTTGGAAGCTATTGAAGAAACCAGTAAAGAGCTAAGGAATTGGAAGGTCTCAGCTTTTGAAAATATTTTTAGACAAAAACATCAGTTGTAAAATATATTAAAAGGTGTCCAAAGAGTCCTAGATTACATTAACTCCAAGTGTTTACAAGATCTCGTGAATCATTTAAATGAAGAGTACGAAAAAAACTCAACCAGGAAGATATACTTTGACTCCAAAAATGAAATATCTAAATCTCAAAATCAACAACCATTGAAGAAGAAAAAAATCAAATAGAGAAAATAACGAGAGGTAACCTTCGACGAGCATGAGCAGGAAAGAACTTGACGAGTTCATCAGTGGACATATCTAAGAGAGCATCGAGATCGACACCTCTGAAACTGAACTTCTTGAACGTTCTCTTCTTTGGTACCCCTGGGGCGGCGTGAACTTTGTTATTGAGGGGAAGAAGCGGGAAAGGGTGAAAATAATGGGGGGGGAAAATTAAAATATGACTTTTACAGATGACACACAATTAAAAGTGTACTCCGTATTTTTGCAAATTTTTTGGATTATGACTAATAAATATGACACACATTATTGTAAGTCATAAATCGTTCAGATTTTAAAAAACATGACATTTTTTATCACACACCTATTTTGCAAGTCATAAATTAGCGCGTGTCATCGTTCGTGTGTCATTAAAGATATATTTTCTTGTAGTGAATGAATATGAACCCTAGACTAAAGATAAAGAGCCCTAACAATAGTTAAAAGATGTTGGTGTATCCTTTCAACAAAAGTAATTTATTGTGAAAATTCAACATAGGAGAACTAATAAACAACTCCCAAAAAAGCAAATGATTCAATGAATTCAATTCAGGTGCATTATCTAATCGAAAAACTTTCAAATTATAATTAAATTGTCTTTTAATCATTGTTATTAAATTTTGTTTCGTTGATGTTGAGAGGTGAATCATATTAGATGATTATATATTGTCTTCAATGTCAATAACGTATTCTTTGAAGTGAGTCTGAACTTCACCGGTGGTGCATCGTTAGTTTTAAACCTTGAGGACTATCTTCTCCAGCAGAATTCTATTGTGAGTCATCTAAGGCTTCAGAAACATAATTATTTGTATACATTGGGTTATCCTTTTCAGTATTGTATTATATTGTATATGTTGAGAACCTTGCACCTTATTAATTTTCCCAAGAATGTCCCATACTAGTTACTAACTCTCGGCACATTGGGTTATCATTTTTAGTATTATATTATATTGTATATGTTGAGAACCTTGCACCTTATTAATTTTCTTGCACCTCTAGTGAAAAATCTAAAATGCTATGTAAAAGCTGTTTGAGATGGAAATGAAATTAGATGAGGACTCGCATTACAAATACAACTCATTGATTCGCCGGAAAGTGGTGGATGATGTTTAGTTTGGTAAATGTTCTTGTTTAGTGGTAGGAAAGAAATTTTGATAAAAAGATAAGATCTACATTTGAAAATTCTGTTGGAAATTTAAGGAAATGAAACTAGACTTTAGATGCATAAGCCCAAAGTTTTGATTTAATTACCATTTTTGATGTCTTTATCATTATTTGTATACATTAGTTGCAACTTTTGATTTAAGTTTAGGAGAAATGAATGGTCATCACAATTTTCAATTTTCATTTGTTTGCTAAGATATTAATTGATGTTTGTATCATTATTTGTACATGAAATGTCTAATTTGGGAGAGAATTCTATTTCACCCACTCTTACTTTTAACTCTCCACGACTATCAATCGAGGGAAGTCAATCACCAAGTTCTGAAGGAAATTTGGTTCCTATATTAAGTTAACCTAATGTTGTGGTTGAAAATAATGTGTCAAGCAAATGCACTTCATCAAAGCTAAAGTCTATGGTATGGGAGCACTTTAAAAAAGAGAAGATCAATAATGAGTGGAAGGCAATATGTAACCATTGCCAAAAAAAAATCAATGGTGAATCTAAGAATGGGACTAGTCACTTGCGTGATCATTTGAAAAGGTGTAGGAAGCGAGTTCAAGTAGACATTCAACAACAAGTCTTAGTAGCTAATCAAAAGAAGTCAGATAGAAAATTGACAATAGGGGCTTTATCATTTAATCAAGATGTGACAAGGAAAGAGCTTTCGAATATGATAATCATGCATTAATATCCTTATCGATTGTGGATCATTCACAATTTAAAAGTATTGTTTTAGTCTACAACCTATGTTTGAAATGTCTTCTCATAAGACTATAAAATGTGATATTTTGGACTTGTACGAAGAGGAGAATGTAAAGATATTGTCAAAGGTGGAGGCTAATGAAGGAAGAATTGCTATAACAACTGACTTGTGGACTTCAAATCACCAAAACAAAGGATATATGGTTGTTACTGCTCATTACATTGATAACTCTTGGAGTTTTACAAAAGCTCATTATAAGGTATTTGTTTAAATATATTTATATATTTAGTTATATTTCGATATGTTTAAAACTAATTCATTTGATTTGTTGTTTAATTAGGTTCAAATATATACCAGCTCCACATACTACTGATGTAATTTCTTCTAGTTTGATGAAATATTTTCTAGATTCAAATATTGATAGGAAACTCACATCTATTACAGTTGATAATTGTAGTGTGAATGAAGGTGTCATTAAGTTGTTGGCTGATAAGATGGGAGGTAATACGTTGTTGCTTAATGGAAATTTTTCCACGTGTTTTTGTGCACATATATTGCATTTGATTGTTAAAGATGGATTAAATGTGATTGGAGATGGCATAGAAAGAATCTGTCATAGTGTTTTTTTTGGAGTGTTACTCCAAAAAGGTGGGAAAGATTTGAAGAGGCGACACAACAATTACGTATATCAACTACAAAAAAGTTATATTATGATGTTAGAACACAATGGAATTTTACCTTTTTGATGCTCCAAAATGCTTTATCTTATAAGGATGTTTTTGCTCGTTGTGTACAGTTACATCGTGATTCTTTGTACAAGTACTTACCAACTGATGATGATTGAGCTTTTGCATCGGTGATTTGTGATAAGATGAAGTTATTCTACGAGATCACCGAAGGTTTTTCAAGTACAAAATATACGACATCAAATCTTTATTTTCTGAGTATTTGTAAAATTAGGGTGGCATTGAATGAGAGGATTACACATAGTAATATCATTATTTTGAGAATGGCAAAGTGCATGTTGGAGAAATATTGGAGCGATATGAATGGTACCATGGGTGTTGCCACAGTTTTAGAAGCAAGGTACAAAATAATATTGTTGGAGTATTACTTTAAAAATATTTATGGGGTTACTGCTGAACATGAAGTTGAAAGAATTGTGCAACTATGTCGGGATTTGATCACAAGTAGGAAGAAAGAATGATGTCCCCAACGAATGAACCTCAACCCTTCAACGGTGCATCTTTGGATGGTGTTCCAGTTGATTTGGGTAACCTAGGTGATTTTGATGCTTATGTTTCAAGAAAGAGAAAAAAGAAAAAAAAAGTCAAATCTGAGTTAGACCATTACTTAGAAGTTGATGTTATTTCTAGGACGTCAGACTTTGATATATTGACTTGGTGGAAGACAATTGGGCCACAATTTCCTATATTGCAAGCTATTGCAAGAGATATTT